ACAAACAACGTAATAATATTGCAAAACAAACATTTTGAGGTTGCCTTCTAGTTGGGTCACCGCATGGTATGAGTAATAAAGAATTTAATACAAAAACATAATTATTTTCTTTTTTTTTTTATTTTAATTTAAATAAATTATAATATATTTTTAACTTGCAGGTTCTTGATATTGAAATTTTATTGAATGCAAAAATAATTCTTGTTAAATTAAACATCGTCATGCAGTGTATATCGTATCGACTGTGCGATGGTTTTCGATCGACTGATGAGACTTTTTTGCACTTACAATAGATAACAACAATTCTATTCTATTCTCATCTATCACATAACATCTTTGTAATTTTATTTGTCTCTACTATTGCCAAACTAGCGATGTTTTTTGGTAATAAATTTAAAAACTTGCCTAAGTTCAAGAAATGATTTTAGAACAAAATCTAACAATTTGTGTGGTTTTCTCTATGTATTTTCTTCACACAAAACAATCATTATTAGATGTTTGTTTTTTATATTTATTTTTATAAATTTTTCTTTACACTTAAAAACTATGCAGCCTTAGAAATGCTTTAAAAATGTGTAAATGACATTTTTCACAAAATAATTTATTACGTTTTTATATTATTTAAATAAATTTCTTTACTTTGTTTTTAAACTCATCAAATTTCAAGTTGAATAAGATAGCTAAAGTTGTAAACAATGAAGAAATAATCCCCGTAATACTATATGGAATACTAAACAATTAAAGGACATAATACTATTACAGCTATTATTTACTAATTACTTTAATTCAAGAGCTGTTGCATATATAATTTATATATCAGATGGCTCGCATATATCTATCAAATTTTCCAATTCGATTCACTTAATGTAAGATACCATTGGTTACGAAACGCTTTACTAACGAATAGTTACTACAAAAATAAAAATAATATTATTAAGTTATTGAGACATTAACCCATTAGTATCAGGAAATCTCACACTTGAATTTTACGGTGAAATTTCTATAGTAACTATTAAAATAAAACAAGTTTGAGTAAATGAGAAAAGTTTAATATTTATTTCAAAGATTAATCTCACTTTATTTTTGCCTAAAAAATATAAAATTTTCTTTCAATATTAAAAAATATTCAAAACTAGCCGTGTGGTGCACCATACAGAGACCCGAAAAGGGTTAAGTTGAGTAAAACAAAAAAGAGTACAAGACTTCAAGCTGATTTTCTATTTTGATCGACTCTATATGTAGGACTATTGACAAGGAATCGTTACATCAGTATATAGTTACACCAAAAAAAGAAGAAGAAGAAGAAGAATATATGACTATAAAAATAAGAGTAAAACGCATATAGCGATATATGTGTTGTAGATATTAACATAGATATTACACTGTATAGATATTACTAACAAATGACTATGTAATCTATTACATAGATATTACTATATGCTATCTACTAGATATTAACTTTTACTTCTAAATCGATCATTTCATTGCGAAGGAATATTCCTACTATACAGCACATACATGATAACAAGTTATCAGGTACCATGTTTCGATGAGTTCAATATACAGAACAAATGAAGAAGGACTAATAGACTACCAAGCAGTTAGAAATATAGAAATGTTTTCACATTAAGCTTTTGATAAATGAAAGCTAAAACAGATAAAAGTTAATATAATTTAAATGACATTTTTATAGTACCATTAAAATAGAATTAAAATTAAAATTTTAAGTAAGAAAGAAAAAGAAAAAATAACACTGAAGACATTAATTTAATCAATGTCTTCCCATTTCGGTCGAATCAATGTAAAACATCATTGACTAAAGATCGATATATTAGCGAATACTTATAGTAAAAAGAAAAATAAAAAAAAATTACACAGTTAAAAGAAGATGGAAAGAAAACTTAACATATATACGATTACTAAATGGAAATTTGTTTCTTCACTTCGATCGACTCAACGTAAAGGACTAATCAAATAGGATCGACACATCACCACATAGTTACAGCTTAATGAAGAATGAGAAATTATTAAGTTAAAATTAAAATGATATTCTTAATATTCTAGTTAGGGTATAGTTTTGACCCTACAAAAATATTAAATATCTAACTTAATCTCTATATAATGCATACCAGACGGAAATATTTGAAAGCCTTTTAAAGGAAATGAGAAATTAGATTTAATTTCAAATATATATATAAATATATAGGTAAATAATACCAATTACAGTCGTGTTAAAAAGAAGATACTTAGTTTAACGAGTTTACTGAATACTAATTCCATTTTATAGATGTTGACTATCCACAAAAATATACTTTATATATATAATATATAGGAATATTAATTTTTAACTATTTACAGTGATAAGTAAAGCCAAATTAACACTTAAATTATCTAGAAAAATTTCATTAAAATATTTTTGTTTACAATACAAATTTAAAAAAAATTATGTATGTGATATCTGATGTTCATTTTGATTTTTTTAAGTTTTATGAAATAATATATATAGACAAAAAATATATAGTTATTAAACTTTACTACGTTTTTCAGTTTTCCAGCTTTTTTTGTGGAAAGTTTTTTAAAATTTTTAGTACAAAAAATCTAATAGGCTGTAGTGTACTATTGTCCCTGCTAATAATAGTCAACATTTTTTATCTACAATTGGTTTCGAACACATTTTCTTAAGAAACCATTTATATTACAATAAATAAATGAACATTTTGCACCAAAAAAAAAAAAATATGTTTAATAATTGAGATACATTGAGATACGCATACAACGCGCTAAACATTTAAATAAATTAAATAAATAACTAAAAAAAATTAAACAAATATTAGTATGAAAATTAAGTTATTTCAACAAATGTGTGGAATCCATAAATAATTTATTTAGTTTATTAGATCCGATACGTTTCATTTAGAAAACGTCATAGAAAATTAAATTTTGAAGTGTAAATTTATGAATGACAAATCATTACTCTTATCATACAAAAGAGAAGAGGCGAACGTAATGTCAACTTGTATATGGTAATTAGTTAAATAAAATGTATGGAATAATTTATAAAGAATAACTATATATTTCAACTAGCTTTTGTATTATCTTTAAAACCTAGTATAAGTGTGTGACTAAAGAAGTTATTATTTTAAATGATATATGCAAAAACATACACCGAAAACAACTGCTTTAAATATTATTATAACTTATTCTTTAAATCTTACGTAAATGTAACTAAATATAATTATTAAAATTAATTTAATTTATGAACTAACAAAACTAATTTCTCATTAGTTGAATAGAATTAGGCATTTTAAATTTAAGTGCCCTTTTTGTATGTAAATTAATTGTACTGAGTTAGATTTATTCAAATTAACTAGTTAAATGCATAATTTTGTGATATTTTAATTAAGATAATTGTACTATATATATAAAAATGTGATTTTTGTTGATAGTTCTTCTAAGTTCTTCTACAGTTCTTCTAAGTGAAATGCTAGTAATAATGAAAATAATAATAATAACATTATAGCAATATGAGTCATTAACACTCTAATAGGTAGATAAGATTGAAAACTTATTAAAGAAAATTAAACATCTTGTAGATACATATTATTTAAATTTTTAAACTATAACGTAGACTACAAATAACCTTATTCATTAGTTAACATTAACAACATTTATTTAATCAACAACACATAATGAAAATAAAATCATCTCACATTAGTAAGATCAAGAGAGAAGTCTGTATTAATAATAAAAATATATATAATAATAATAATAAATAAAAATTGTCGGAAAGAGGTCGAAATTTTTGTATATATTAAATAAATAAACTATCTGTTTATAAATATAAAAAAAAACTATCTATTTAGTTAAAATTATTTTATTTAAATTAAAATCAAAATAAATATTTTTTAAATTTCAATGTTGTATTAAAAAAAAAAAATAATTTAAAATTTATCTTTTTATAAATATTAAACGATATATATTATTTTGTTTAAATTAAAATCAAGATGTGTTTTTTAAATCCCAATATGATATTAAAAAAATTTAAAACCCAATAAAAAGACAAACCCATCTAAATAATCAAAAAAAAATATATTCATATTATCAACTGTTTTTTTAAACTATTTTTAATTCTCAATTAATAATTTTATTTATACTTTTGTATTATTTATAAATATAGATAATTACTTTAGTTAAAATATTGTAATAAAATATTGTAATTGTAATAATATATTATAGTAAGATTTTACAATATACAATTAAAATTTTTGATTTATTTGTATTATTATTATTAAATAAAAGTAAAAAATTGATTTGTTTGTCAAAAACAAACCCATATAAAGATTTTAAAAATAAATAAATTAATATGAAATTTATTTTTAAGTTATTTATTTTAGTTTGTTTTTTTGCCGAAATTTAAATTATTTTTTTATATTTAATTTGAAATTAAATATATGTATTTCAATATATTTAAGTGTATTGAGTTTTATGATATAATATTTCCATTTTAATTTAAATTATTTTATTTTTTTTATTGATATTTTATTGTTTGAAACTTATTTATTTTTTAATATACTTCATTCTTCAAAAAATTTAGGTAATTTTTTGAATATATATAATTTCAAATTAAATATATATATTTCAATATATTTAAATGTATTAAGTTTTATAATTTAATTTTTTTTTAAATTTAAAATATTTTGTTTTATTAAAATTTTATTATTTGAAACTTATTTATTTTTTAATATATTTCATTCTTTAAAAAATTTTAGTAATTTTTTTTATATGTAATTTCAAATTAAATATATGTATTTCAATATATTTAAATGTATTATTTTTTGTAATTTAATTTTTTTTTTTAATTCAAAATATTTTTTTATTGATGTTACTTTATTCTTTGAACCTTTTTTCGTAGGATAATCATTATACTATATTATTTAATATATACAGAATTTTTGTATACAATATTTCACTGAATCCTTTTGAATATAAGATTAACTCACCTCAGGATAACACTTATTAGTTTTTAAAATGTTTTGTGATCAATAAAAATGTTCTGAATTGAATTTGTAATATTGTACCACGATTGTTTCTATATTTCATTAAAGTTTATTTAATATTCACATTAGCTATTGTCCTTTAACATAAGGACATATTAAACGATTTAAAATTTTTGTTGGTTTTTTATTTCGATTTTTGATTTCCACAATTAACAAAACTGAAATCCTTTTGAGAGTTTCGACTTCGTTTTTTCACTTCTCGAAAATACCTTTCTTAGATATCAGAAAACATTTGATCTTGATCGTCAATTTAAGAATGAATGTCTTCCTATAAGTTCGTCTCGTTTTATATGCCGTGGAGAGTGTGGCTTTTTAAATGACTTGCTGGAATAGTTGTTTACGTTACGTTAACTTGCGCTTATAGCGTTCATAAGAAAAGTACATAAATGTATCTCACGAAAATATAAGAGTTAAGATATAAACATTTTCTCTCACTTATCTGCATGTTTACTATTTTATTTGTTTGAGAGCAGATACAATTTCTTATTGATTTTATTAAAATTCATATTTTCCTTCGGAATGTACGATCGTACGCTGTTTGGCTAAAATTTCAATTGAAACATATTTCTCGACACTGTTTACTTGTATGGCTTAATTAATTTAAAGCCCTTACATATATATATAGTACATGTAGTTAAATAATGGAAAAATATTTTATAGTTTTTTATAAACAGAAAAATTTCTTTTTTTTTTTGAAAATACCAGTGTTATCCAAACAATATTAGATTACCAAATATGAGTGCAAGTTATATATACATATATATTTTTACTACTATTCTACTATTCTTACTATTGCAAATTGAGAAATATATTTATATAAGAAAAAATATAAAATTATTTTTTTTAAATGATTTGAAAGGAGTATCTATAAAAGCAATGTAGGTTATAACTCAGAGACAAATTGCTGAGATGCAAGATAAGTATATCGTGACCAAACATAAATTATTTTCAATCCAGTAAACACTTAAATTAAAAAGTTTTGAATGAGAATTAATTAAGAAATATATAATGTTTTAATAATGTAATGTCGTGCAATGCGCAATGAAAATATTAATAGTATTTTAGAAGTTTTAATACCAAAAACTAGGTAAAGTTAAACATACGATAAAACGTATAAATGATATATATTTGTTTGAATTTTAACAATAATATTATTAAAAGAGTATAGTACATATATTTTATATAATAATATATAATCTCATAGTTTGCATATTCTGTTAATTACTTTAATTTGTATAATATACGTATATATCTATATAGTAGATCTTCGATAGTCGGACTTTACAGTAATCAACACAAAATTGGTTATGCAAATGTATGGAAATATGCCATATATTTCAGATCGATCACTGATTTAGTAATCCGTATGAAGAAGAGCACTAAGCTGTGGTCTCCAGAGATTACATGTAAAACACTTAGAAAATACTAGTTGAATCTAACAACAAGAATGAAAAAATATTGGTAAGGTGATAAATATAATACAATGAAAGGACGTGATTATTAAAAAGCCAGATTCGACAGTAGATTTGTAATAAATATGTTAAACTATTAATATATATATACAGAAAAGATCAAAGGTATATGATATTCTTTCAATTTATTATATCTGGAAAAATGATATTTTATTTTGTTAAAGTGAGAATGAGAAACCTTTTTGTATTAAGTACTAATGAAGAATAGATTTACAATTTTGTTAAATAAAGATATAGCTGTACAAAACAAATATCAGACCAAATTTAATAAAACTGGATATGTCGACGAATGTAAAACACATATAAATATTTACATTATTTTTTCTAAGATATAACTCTCTCAATATATTCATTAAGTTTGAAATTCCTGGAGATATATTACCATGTAAACTATTATTTTTAATATTCCCTATTTTGAATAAATGTTTTGTTTACCATTAAATATCTTAATATAAACACCAAGTATTTTACCCTATGCATATGGGCCCTATGCTCCTTAGGAGGAGCATAGGAGGTAAAGGAATTTATATGTATATATATTTCATCCGCCATAGAAATATTATTATTAATTAAATACTGTAATACTATAATAATGTATATTGGATTACCATACACCGCGACTTAACTAGTCTATTGTGCTTTGACACCTTTAACTGTATTATTTTATTCCACTCTTCCTTTCTTGTTATAAGGCTGAATTAGTTAAATCTGCTGCTGTTGAAATTAAAATATTCAGAGAGAATGCGTTCAGATGTTTCGAGCCATACAAGTATAGTATTATTTTATAGTATCAATTTTATGTTTATGAAGAATAAGAAGGAACTAGATTAGAAAAGAGCTACTAGGAAGACTAGGAAATATTTAAATTTGAAAAGAATTAAGAATACTATATAATATTAATAACCACTTCAAGGGTAGATTCAAATAAAGTTATCATTTACTAGATGATACGACGATGAAACAACAAAAACTTTAATTTGAAATATATTTTCAACTTTAAAATTAATTACATTAATACTTACCATCATCACTAATACATTATTCTATTCTTTTATTAGAATAACTCACCTTAATTGGGGGAGTCGGGTCTTCAGTCTTGTTTATATGCTAACCACTGCAGTCCTTTTCTGACTAGTGGTTCTGATACCATTGTGATATGAGCCATTATTTGAGCTAAAGTGGTCTTTGGTGTACAAGGCCTCTACTGAAACTTAACCTATATGTTAGAACTATATATATAAAAATTAATTTAAATTTTTACTCTCTCTCTGTTCACTTTTTCATTTCAAAACTTCTTTTCTTTTTTATTTAAAATAACACCTTATGAAGCGAAGGCCCTTAATAAAACCTTTGTAACGTGTTCTGTTCCAAATTATTCCATTGGAATCGTACTGATACAGTTTTTACGTCAATTGTTCTTCTACAGGTTTTTAATGGGTCGGCAGGTCGACTGGCTTGGAAATGTAACATATAAATTTTATTTTCATGGCGCGTGTCTGACTCACTACCGTTTGCGTCTTTACAGATGTTACTGCGACTTAAATTATTCTAAGTAATTATTGTACATTAATACGTGTTTGAGGTACTGGTTTGCTATTAGAAATTAAATTAAATTCAAGCAACTAATATTAAGCTGAATATCCAAAGCGTTTTATTAAATTGTTTCAATACCCTTTAATCTATTCACTCAAAATAGAGATTAGTAAGCATCGATAATCAATAAGTAACCGATATACTATGTTTAGTTCGTGATATTAATTATTTTAATCAACTAAAAATGTGCGAACTTTAATTAAGAATAATTTAAATTTCCTATTATTCATTGTGTTTATAGTTTTTAAGCTAGCTAAGAAAAACTATGTAAATTTTTTCTATTTAAATTAAAAATCAAAATAAACCTGCGTAGGTACGTCTATAGTCTATGTATTTAAAATTAATATTCAATAAGTAATTGGAAATTTTTTAAGAATTTGTTTTTAGTGACTACGATAACAATAAAAATATTATCTAAAATAGGTCTCGACTTTCCGTTAATACTAAAAGTGGCTCCAAGAAGTTTCACATGAGAGATGAACAAGTATTTTTCATTTTTTAAAATCTCAATAAATGATAAAAAATTTTTAATTATGCGTATTAAATTATTCTAAACAATTAAGTGCAATTAGTTTAATTTGTAATATATGTGAAGTGTATTTTAATAACTTAATTATATAAGATTTTAGATTCTACTAGCTGTGTCTTCGTAGTTTGCTACGGGTCTCCAAATACTAAAATTTTTTATTCATTACTTAATACATATATATGAAAATGATTTGCAAAGTTACATATCATTTTTGCAGAACACTAAACATTTTAAATATTTTTGCTACTTTAAATAGTAGTAAACAGCAGATCTCTATAATATAAGATCTATCAATAGTAATAATGGAAATCATATACTACTCTATCCTTGTCTTCCTGTTCCGTACTTACTTCTTTTTTGAACAAAAATTTAAATATTTGTTTTGGACATATGACTAATTAGTATTTTTTGTAAAAAGTAGCAGAAGATATATCGTTTACTAAAGAAATTTACCTTTATCACACACCATCTTCCTACTTTCTACTGCTAACTCCTACCTTTTTCGAACAAAATTGTAAATATTTACTAAGGACAATGAGTAATTTGTGTATTTTTATCAAATAAGTAACTTTAATAGCACACTAAGCAGTTATATATTATAAATATATATATAGTTTTATACTCTACCGTTTCACAGAACGAAAAAAGAACAGAAAAAATGTTCTTTAGATAGAAAGATAGTATGTAATTGTTGAACAAATAATAAACAAAAAAAGTTATTAAGAATTTTAAATAGAATGGAGGTTTTACAATAGAATTTTTCTTTAATACTGACATCTGATATCTGGAGTCTGTAAACTTCATCACCTTTCTGAAGTTTAGAATTTTTTAGTAAATTCATTGTGATATTTTAAACTATAACTTTGTTTGAATATATCAAAAGTATATAATGTTTCTGCAAATAACGTGATATAAGTATCTTAAAGATATATTAAAAATCTTAAGTAGTAGAAAAAGCAATTCTTATTGATTGATATTTCCTGACAAATTTTAATCACATTTAAGTGCATTTAGGTGTTATTATAAATTACTTTAATCACTCATATTTCTTTTTTACATATTATTTTCATATATATCATATACAAAATTCTACTATTGCTTACTTTCTATTATATAAACTATCTTAGTAGTCAGGTGGTAGGTTACCAAGCATTAGTTCAGTCTTTTTAAGTCCGATTTAGAAACACAAAAGATTAATCACGACCCAAATAATGAAAATATATAGAAGTACAGTCCTGACCGTTCAGTTCAAGCAGTACAGTACAGTCCTGGAAGTACAGTACAAGTACTCCTTGATCCACAAACTCCAATTCCGTGCAATATGTACTTTCAAAAAAATGACCCCAATATTCGCTAAGTATATACATTGTGACCGAAAAGCTTTCGGAAATTCTCATTTAAAATTCGCGCGCTGTATATTTTTCGATATTTTAAGTTTATGTAGTTTGGCAGCACTGTCCTTAATTACTATGCCAAAAATGAGCGCGATCTGTCAGACAGTTCGTTTACGGCAGCTGTTGAAACCAGTTCACCTCAGTAGTGAGTTGCGAAAAAAACAATGGAAAAAAATATTGAACAAAGAGTTTGCATCAAATTTTGTTTTTCGAACGAAATTTCGTGTGCAGAATCGTTGCGAATGCTAC